ATCTGAGTCTTGATTCTTCGCCTCACCTCGGGTTATGACGGTTGGGACGACACATTTCGGTGCCAGATGGATGCTCTGGCGACTGTCATACGCGCTGTCTTTCGACACCTCGGCCTCCCTCCCCCTCTGCGCTGAATTCGTTGCCCCAAACTCTTACAATCCGCAGAAGGGTGTACCAACCCAATGGCGAGCTGTTCGAGCGGCCTTCATTCCAATTTCTAGGTCCTGATCAGGTGGTGAGGCCTTGGAGACGTACGAGTCTTATGATGGGCGATGTTCTGGATGTAGCGATATATCCGGAAGTCGTGCTTTTGCAAGGGGAGGACGGTTTACCGAGAACCTCTGTCTTTTTCTCATTCACGAACGTGGTGCGGGTCAAGCGTCGTATCGATCTTGTCAGGGTGTGTATTTCGCTTATATCTTGCATTTGCAAATCTCATTGTTCGTGTAGGAAGGTATGGGCCAATATCGCCCTCCGTTCATCAGACGCCGCAATGATTACAGAAGCGACGGGAATATGGGACACACGGTTCACACCTCAGTAGACAACGGTGGTACGTTATCTTGTTATTTTGTGCATTGCTTTATTAATCTCGGTTCGCAGACGAGTCGCCCACTGAAGATATACTCAGACTTGTTCGCGATGGGAACATAATGGCCAGATCCCCCGACGGGGACGACGAAGGCTCAATGGAAGAATCAGACGACGGATCCTCCATTGACAGCGTGGATGTCTCCAGCGAAAGCTCCACCGACGTATCAGATGGCTCTGGCGATTCTTCCACAGACGACACACATAGCGCTGGCAGGTCCTCCCCGTCTGCACAAGACGAGGGATCGGGTGACAGTGTGGGCTCTGATGGATCGGATGACGCTATGAGTGTGGGGGACTACGAAGACGATGGGTGGATAGTCCAGGACGATGACGTTGGGAGCAGTGGTGACGACGAGGGCGATGAGTCTGATGAAGGCGAGGGAGATGACGAGTACGATGGTAGAGTGGACCTTTGAAGTGTACTTATTGCAATGGCTTGGTTTTTAAGGACTTATGTATTCGGCTTTTTTGCATATATGCGCTCGTATTTGGTGTCTTGCTCGTATTTGCAATTGTGATATTAATAGGTTCGCGCTACCTCTGATCGGAGGGACGGGCGCGTCCGTAACTACTCGAGCACTTTCTGCCTTTTCTCCGCCTTCACGCTTGCACCATACGTTTCATTCCCCCGCCCGGAAAGACCTCATCACTACAAACCAACTCCGGTCATTAAATGGCTACTTTGCCCTACAACCCGTCGCTCCCCTCGTGCTTTGCCAGCAGGGTCCTCCCGTTGCTTTTGAAAAACATACCTCTTCGGGAAACTGTCAATATCCGTCTTTGTAGCGCTGAATGCAACCGAACGACTCAGGCGTACTTCTCACAAAAGTTCGAAGAACTACTGGCGCGATACATTGTCGATGTGCTCGCATTTCGGAATCTCCTGCGAGAGACCCAGTCGGTGATATGTGGTTCTGAGGCGCTCAATTTCGCCTTGCACGGGACGGATTTGCCGCTGCTTTCCCCCTCTGACTTGGACCTCATGGTGTCTCCACTGCACGCCATCACGCTCGCCTCTCATTTGCATACGGTCGAAGGTTATCACGTTTTGCCAATCGCTCGGCCCATCGAACTCAAACGCGTCGTCGACAGTCGTCCCGGGGTCGTCAGTATGACCCGCCTCATCCATCCAACCCGCGGCCAAATCGATATCATATGCAGTTCGCGCCTTAACTCCACACACCCTCTCGTCTACTGCCCATGCTCATTGCTCATGAACTTCTTGACGGCGGACGGGCTGGCTGTCTCTTATCCGGCGTGGACTTTTCGCGGGCAGAGCGTTCACACCGATTTACTCCCTGGCTCGTCGTCGGCACAAGACTATCAGTCAAAGTGATGGACTGGGGCTGGGTGACC